CTTACAGCGTTCTTCACTGCTGCAGCACAAGGCCGCAGCCAAGATGGTGCTAGATCTCTCTCTCCTGCTTCTACCAACGACACTGGTGATAGAGCTCACAACTCTCCTCCTCCAGATCTCTCCCCTTCTGGACAGGCTTCTTTCTCTCCGCTGCCTCAGTTTCCCTCCACTCCCTTTGGCCAGAGCCCAGCTAAATCGAGACCAAGAATGTCTGTCTCTACACAGCCTGATACTGAGGCGAGCCCTATCCATCTATCCCTGGATGACACATGTGCTCTTGTGGAATCCATTGATGTATACCCCAACCTTAGATCAGCCAGTATCTGATACTACATTAAAGGACATGCTTCTGTCATTAGGATCCACTATCCACACAGATATGCAATCTCTTATGCGCCAGTTTAAAGATGAAGTGCAACAAATAGGTGACTGTGTTTCCCACATGAAAAACAAGATGGGGGAATTTGCATCCACTTTTAATGACTTAGTGGATTCTCACAACAGCAGAGAGGATGATGTTGATTGGCTCAAGGCAAAGCTGGTGAATTAGAAGATCATTCCCGCTGTAACAACGTGAAAATCTGTGACATTTCTGAATCAATTCAACAAAGTGAGCTGCTTTCTTATGTCCAAGATCTGTTCCACACTGTCCTGCCTGATCTTCCTGATATCGACCTCACTACAGAACGAGTTCATTGGATTCCCAAGCCTTCTCACCTCCCTGATTCACTACCCAGGGACACATATTAATTTTTTCCATGTGAGAGAACAGTTAATGTGAATTTCCCAAATCTCTGCTTTACATGAGAAATATGCTCACCTTCAATTTTTTTACGACGTCTCAGGACACTCTGTCGCTCAGATGAAAACTCTTACCCATCACCAAAGCTCTGAGAAATCATAGGATCCCCTATAGATGGGGCTTTCCAACCAAATTAATTGTTACCAAGGACAATGTGTTATATACTATTACATCCCTTGAACATGGGGCTGGTTTTACTGCGCCAATGGGACATTATCATACCTCCTACCCCATGGCGACCTACACCAACCCATAAGAAACTGGGTGCGGAGTGGCAAACTGTGATAAAACGTAAAACCAAAGCCACCACCTGATCTGGCTGCTTCTCCTCTGCAATCTTGCTAGTCCTTCTTCTATTCACACTGATGCCGGCAAGGGCCACTTGAGAAAACCTCATACTGCTGAGCAGTTCCATTGACTGCCTCTTGACCCCAATTTGGGCCACTTTTTTATTGTTGCTCTTTATAGTTTTCACACTTTGTGGACTATTTTTCTACTTTTTTAATGCCTACATGTTTCCACCTTTTTTGCAGCAAATCCGCTCCTACCTGCTACTTCTGGACTGTGCTTTTTGGATCATTGTTACCTGGAGTTCTTCAGCTTAACACATGGTCAATTTCATCTACCTTCCTTTAAGATGTATGCAATTTACATAAATTTAGATTTTATCACCTAGTTTTATTTTATGGGAATAAAAATTGTGTCTCTTAACTCTAAAGGTCTGAACCACCCTGCTAAACATTAATCCCTTTGGAAAGATGCACTGAAGTTGGGTGCTGATATTCTCTGTGTTCAAGAAACCCATTTTTGTTATCATAATTCGACCAAATGCTCTCACCCACAACATGAAAGTGGGCGTTATGATAGCAAATTTCTGTTTGTGCTGCATCTAAATCCTTAATATAGAACAAAAGTCTTGAGCAGCTGAAAAACCATAAGGTGGAAGTATACCATCGTCACATCCACCCTATCGATGTACATTAAAATAAAGACTTCCCTCTGGAACTAGCTTCACATACATCCCAGTTCCACTATTTAACTAAAAAATAACAGTCCCACCTTCTATGGGTGGCGATCCAAAGTTAACATTTTGTAGATCGACTTCCAGGGTCCACCTATGCCTATATAAAAAGTCTTCCACCCACAGCCACCAACCAAATGATTGACATAAAGCAAATGTAGTACCAATATTCAAAACAGGGTCGAGATGTCCACTGAGAAATTGTCAGCCTAACATTAATAGTATGTAAAGTATGTAAAGTTTTTGAGGGACCAGTAAAAGACTACATGCAAGATTTTGTGAAAATAGTATCATAAGTAACAACCAGCATGTTTTGAACAACCTGTCAACACTTTATGAGGAGGTAGGCATTAATTCAGATAAAGGTAGGCCATCTGGATCTTGCTAAAGCATTTGATAGAGTACCTCATAAATGCTTAATTTGCACATTAAAGTCCATTGGCATTGAAAAAGCTGTATGCACATGGATAGAAAGCTGGTTATAGGAACGCATCCGCAGAGCAATGATAAATGGCTCTTTCTCCAAAGGGTCTAAGGTTGTGCCCAAGGCTTCTGTCTTAGGGCCAATACTGTTCAGATTGTTTATCAAAGGAGAACTATGGGGTTAAGTCTTTTCCCCATAGTTCTCCTTAGGGTAACGGGAGGATACAAACTAGCGTCCTCCCGTCACCCTAATCTCAGTATACCACAAGCTGTAGCTCGCGGTTTACTGAGACGCCGCAACTGAAGCGGATCCCGACAATTGTGCCAGGATCCGCCCAGCTGCGTGACTGACAGCTGGCTCTGCCTATCTAGAGGCAGAGCCAGCTGTACCCGCCCCCTCCCCCGTCCGATCCACCAGTCAGCGCTGGCGGATCGGAGTGGGGAGGGGGGAATCCAGCCCCTCCCCGTCACGGCAGAGAGCCATGACAGGATCGACAGGTGAGCGAACGCCGGTATGTGTTCGTTCACCTCCCAATCTACTGATCGGCTAGAACTATGAGGTGAGTGAAAAGCACTCACCTCATAGTTTTCCTTTAATGATATGGAGGTTGGGATCCTGAGTTTAATTTCAGTGTTTGCTGACAATAATAAACTATGCAGGGAAATACACAGGATATAGCAATGTTACCACTGTGAAAAATATTTTGATAACAATATGCAGTTAATGCATGTAATTACAATTCACTTTATGACAATTTTTTAATGTCTTCATTCATTTTCTCGCAAACGCATGGACCAAGCTACCCAGCCAATGTGAGAGTGACAGGAGTTTGGACAAACACTGCCTGAGTGCTTGGACATTTGCAGCAACAGTTTTATTTTATATTCAAAAGAAAATATAGACCATGCGCATAAACAGTATTGTAGGCACCCCTGGTAGTGGTATAGTTTGCCGCAATCCCTGTCACTGTCAGTTTTGTTGAACATAAGTTATATACTGTATATTTGTCCTGATTTATAGGGTATATCATATGTCTTGGATTTCAGTTTATTTTAGGAGTTATAGGTCACAAAATACAAGGAGTGAAATAAAATGTTAGTGTGGAACAATTTTAGAATGTGGTGTTTGTCTACTATCTTTAATAGCCTCCTCTGCACTATATTTTTTTAAATTAAATTAATTTTATTTTTGTTAAACTTTTTTATTTTTTGAAACCATTTTCTTATTTCTAACTTTTTCTTTTTTTTAATTCTTAACAATTTTAATAACTATTTTTTATTTTAAAATGTATTTATTTTTTAAAACTAGGGGGCACTAAGGGGTTATTTTATTTTATTTACAGGGGCTTTGATACTTAGTATCTCTAAGTAGAATACAGTATTCTGTTGAGAGATACTTTATATCAGTTTGTAAACACACAGCCGACTCCTGCAGCACTCAAAATAGTCAGCTGTTGCTGGCTGTGTAACTGTCACAGCTCTGCGATCACAGCGTTCAGCTCTCACTGTGATCACAGAACTGTGACCACCTAATCTACTGTTTAGGGTCTGCCTTGTACCCAGAGTGACCCATCAACAGCAGTGATTCAATGAGCTGCTGGTCCCTTCACGGATCAGCACTCATTGTACCACATGACGGGATTATCCTGTCACCAGTCGTTAATGAACCGAACAATGGTGATGGGATAATCCCGTCATCGGTTGGAAAGGGGTTAAAATGAACAAGACATAGCCATTTTGTTCCTTGGATACCCTTTGGCACCCTTGGTTGAACAGTTTATCTATATTCAGCAGCTATCACCACTGACAGCCTACTTGTATTTTTGCCATTAACCTGGGAGTACCATCTACCCCCTCCTCTGAAAGGGCAGAAAGTTTTCTCCAATCATGAACACATGGTGTTCTGTAACATATGGTCCATAAACAGCATACAAGAAACACAGTCTACCTGCTTCTCTTTTCAATCCAGGAATAGTTGTAGTGCACTAGGCCACTCTGTTCATAAGAAATGTCTTGTTGGCATTAACCTGGAGTTCTGGAACACCCTCTGCATCCTCTCTGTGCCCACACAGTGTTGTGTGAGTGTCCTAAGGACAGGGCATTGTTTTATTTCCTTCAACCCTTTACTCCCATCCAGCTATTTAAAACTCCCCCAGAGTTTTCGCTGTCACGAAGCAGGGATATTCCTCCTAATGCAGAGATTCTGGACAAAAGTCTGGGAATAAATTATAAGCAGCTTTTCTGATACAGTTGCAATGTGTCATAGATTGCACTATTTTTCATTTCATTTCTTTATATTCCATGTTCGCATGCACATTTTTTAACATATACCTGTGTGGGTTACCAAAGTTTCAAAATTAAGTGCTTTCTACAGTCACATTAAGGTAACTGCTAGTACTTTTCTAACCTGCAAATTCTTCAGAGAGCCCCCTTACCCTGAGGGCAAACTGTAACTGAGGACTTGACTTCTCTATTTACAAAGCTATTCCCCGTTCCAAGGAATGAGGAGACTTACTTGATATACAAAAGAGGATTTGAGGTTTAATAAAAATACCTGCATGTACTTTGAATGCCCGGAGCAGTCAGTAAACGGATCTAAATGAATATATGTTAACTGAGCTAATGTTTAGTTTTTCCATGTCCTCAAATTATTCTGGTGCAAATAACTTTTTAAATCTAAGCACCGAGTATAAATTGTATGGTAAAAATCGGTATAGTATAGTTGTCAAATACCCACAAGACTTTTTTTAATACCTTGGTGAATGTTAAACAATCCTTATCTTGATCTTTATCCTTGATTTCAAAGTCATAAAGTGTTTTTCCTTGTGGAGGAGGCTGGCTAAGTGGCTTGATGCACTGGATGTAGCTGGCAGGGAAGAATCCACGGTTTCCATTTAACTCTCCATGATACCAGTTCTCATCCACCTTCCGTCGCAGAATAATGATGTCACCCTTGTTGAACTTGAGATCCCCAGGTTCTTTTCCCTCATAGGTATATAGTGCTCTTCCACATGGCAACTGAGAAATATTCTGAGAAAGAAAGAGAATATCATGTTATATTGAGCTTCATTAAAACCAAAGCTAGCAGTCACACTGGGAAACAGTTACAACATTAAGTAAAGTTATTATGTATAATGCACACTTCTGCGTATAAAACATTATAGAATCAGTCCTTGCAGAAGGGAATTTTCAGTTCTCAGTAGGTTTCACTTAGTTAAATCACTGAAAGCCTTTTAATAGTTGCTTAAGTCTATATTTTTATATCTGATCTTTGGTCACTTGCTATAGCAGGTACAAGAGGTCTCATGCCCCTTATTAGGATTTTTTTACTTATTTGAAATAGGGAATTGAGTATGACCCCGTAAAGAAGGGTGGCAGATCTGTCAACTTTGGCCGAGAGGTTTGGTTGTCAGTCATAAAGACATTTCAAATATCTATGGCAACTTTTCATTTCTGTAAGTTGTAAAATTTGTGACATTCAGACATAGAATTTATGCTTATAGTTTTTTGAAGCCAACTTGGTATTTTTAGACAAAGAAAGCTAAATAAAGAAAATAGGAGCTCACGTAAAGTAAGATTTATAACTCTAAAAATACCAATTACAATGATTCCCATATCCTGTTCATACAAATACTAAAATCCCCTGACTTACAAGGTTGTACTGTAGTGATCTCTTTTTAAACTCAAGAACCACAGAGTGCAGTAGCATCCTTACAAGATACAAGACAGTTGTGTTCCTGAAAACTAGCTGTGATTACCAGCTGAATATTATGTATATCAAAATTCTAATTTAATGTAAGCCTCTACTTTTATTTGACCCTTTTCAAGGAAAAATCCAGACTATGTGCAGACACCACAAAATACCTGATATTACCTTTATTAGCTAGAACAGCCTGTTCTGTGTCCCTCTCTGGTTAGGTTTCATTTTATTACTTGGATCTATCTTTCACTGACATCATGGCTAAGCTCTGCCAACTTTCACAAGATCATCTTAGCATCCAATAGGGACACTCTCATTGGACACAGCAATTCAAGTTGGTTGGGCTCATTCCATAAGGTTGAAAAATCCAGGTCCAAATAACAAAGTGAGTCTAAATCAGATAGAGGTACAGAAGATGCATTTTTGGTTAATAAAGGAAATAGCAAGCATCTTGTACTGTCTGCTATTTATTTTAAAAAATTGTCAGAGGAATAAAGGTTCCTTTTAAAACCTAGCTAAATTAGCCACGTCTAAAGAAAAAACATCTCGGTAAAATTCTAAAGGCAAGCAGTTTGGATCTTTAATTGTAACTTAATAAATTATCTCAATTTCTGAAACAGCAAAATACACTAATATAAAATTAGCTAATCAAAACAAGACTCTCAGAAATAATGTGATTTCTGTGAGTAAGCTATTGAAGATCACTGGGAGTCAATAGTGCCCACGCTGCATCTGCATATGCACCCACTCCCACCACTGACAGCGAATAAAATGCTGAAGTAAAGGTGTGGCCACACACAGCAAAGTGGGATTTTTCACTGTCCTACTTTACAATAGCCAGCTTGTCATAACGCTAATCAAATTTGCTTTTAACTATATTTATTGATTTACTGTAACATCTTCATTCAAATACTGGTAACCCATTAGATATTAGATAATAAAGCATGTATAAGGCACGTGGTTATCATGCTCAAAACCAAATCAGTGATACTTGCCAAAAGTTATTTAACTCAGGTTAATACAAACACTCTGCCGTAGGATAATGTGTGATAAACTCCTTCATGCCGTCAAGCTACGGCAGTAACTTAAAACAATATGGTAGATGAACAGTAAGATATTCAGGGCTGAAACAGGATAAAGCCTGTGGCAACCAACTGACAATTGATTTATCATCACATTGTAATGCTCTTAATTACATTTCTTTGTTCTTGAGATTTGTAGATATAGCAGAGCACATTATTATACTAGGCAGTAATGTATTTACACTATATTGGATGTAATAACAGTTTGACTACTTTTAGCCATTTACTGTTTTGTTTTGTTTTTGGAGACCACAGACAGTTTTACAGTTAGCAATACACAAGGTTTTAGGTTATTATGCATTACTTTGTTCATGGTCATTAGAAGATTGTTATTTGGTGACTCCAACACATATTATTTTTCCTGTCATAAATATATATGCTACAGAATAGATGGAAGGCATCCCAACATTCTGCAACTCTGGTAAAATAATTTATCTTTCTGCTTACAGCATACAACAGAGAATATTTGTACAAAAACATTAAACCTGTTTGGTTTAAAGTGTCACTAAACTCAAGAGTTAAATCTTAAAAATGTATTTAGTATCCTAACTATAAACCAAAAAAGTATATTTTTAGTGTATTTGTACATCACTCAGCTGTACATACTCAAATCATCTCTGAATTCATGCTGACACTGTCCTTCCTTCTGGAGGGTTGCTACCAGGGCCGGACTGGCCATAGGGCAAACCGGGCACTTGCCCGGTGGGCCAGAACACAATCAACCTGATTGTGTTCGGGCCGGTTTGCTATGCCTGATGGCCAGCTCTTAGCAGAGCCGTCACTACTACACAGTAGACACTAGAGGGAGCTGGTGGGGGAGGCCAAAAAAACACTTCCTCACCCAGCTCTCTCTAGTCTCTACTCTGTGCTCTCTCCGGAGCTGCCGCTGGCGCTGTTCCTGTCCCCTGTCCCGGCCGAGATATTTACATATGAATGGGCCGTGGTGATTTGCATAGCAATAAGCCGCTGCCCATTCATATGTAAATATCGCGGCTAATTCATATGCAAATCAATGTTGTCGCCCCCCCCTCCCTGCTAAGGAATAAAAAACTGCCTGACGACTGCAAGAACAAGGTAAGTTTAAGCATGTGTATGGTGTATACGTTTGTTACATTGGCGGTCATTGTGAACACTTTCGTTACATTGGCGGTCAGTGCGAATAGTTTCGTTACATTGGCAGCCGGCAGGGCCGGACTGGCCATCGGCCATACCGGGCAATTTCGGGGGACATTAGAGTGTTAGCTACTTTAGTGCAGAGAATGCCAGGGGGGTTGGGGGGCCAGTGAGATCCGATTCTCTATAGCACTATGTCTGTGAAGGTTCTCATTCATCCAGGTCACATGGTATAGCTGTAAAAAATAAGTCAAGGCAACTGGACTTTCTGTATTTTTCTTGAAGACGTTTCACTGGTCATCCAACCAGCTTTCTCAATTCAGAAATTCCTGAATTGAGAAAGCTGGTTGGATGACTAGTGAAATGTCTTCAAGTAAAATACAGAAAGTCCAGTTGCCTTGACTTATTTTTTACAGATATTCTCTATAACAAGCTTCCTACATTGTTGCAAGGTTTGTGTCAGGTGTAGCCCTCCTGTACTGGCTGGCCCTGCCCCTCGATTGCGCTTCTGTGTTTGGCTCCGGCCCCTGCTGTGAGGCGTGGGGCCTGTTGGTGGTCACGTGATTGGGCTGCTCAGTCTAAAATGCCCGGGCCTATTTTTAGTCCCAGTCCGGCCCTGGTTGCTACTTTTGTTTCCCATGGTGCCTGTGTGTGTGTTGCTCAAAGCTCACTCCTGTGATGAACTACAATCTCATGTTTAATTTACTAATTTGTACTGAGGTTGTAGCCCATCATGGGAGTTAGATTGGAGTGGTGGAGCTTTCCAACACACAAAGGGACCATTGGGAAGAAAAGTAGCCATCTTCCAGAAGGAAGGACAGTGTTAGCATGAATTCAGAGAGGATTTGAGGATCTACAGCTGAGTGATACACACATAGGGTACTTGAATGTATTTTAAAGATTTTAGTGTCACTTTTAAATCAGATTGCTAAATGTCTTACCATTGGAGGCCAGATGATATACAGTATATTTCAAACATCATATATGTTTGTGTCAACATCATAGTAATTGATAGAAAGTTAGAAACCAGCATTACAATATAAAGTGCTTTGAATCTTTCAATAAATGCCAGGATGGTTTTTGTGTCCCCAGATGGCTCACAAAATTATGGTGCTCTAAAATATGCCAAAAACCAAGTCATAAGCATATGGAGTTTTCGCATCAGTACCCATATGTAGGGTGATCAGGATAAACCACCTTGCATAGCAAAATAAAGTAGTTGTCCATTAAGAGCCATTATGAGGTATTAAGTGTAACTCCAAATGACTATTATGGCTGAATCTTTCTAGCATGGGAGTCTTGTTTTTGTACATATAATGCAATGTGCTATATTTGTAATGTCCTCCAACTTAACACAGCCAACCATATTGTATAGTTTAAATCAGGGCTCAAAATTTCCACTCGCCCCCTCGCAATTGGCGAGTGAAAATTGCGTGGGGGCGAGTGTAAATCCAGGGGGGAGGACTTCTGCTGCTCCGGCAGCGACGATCGCTGTCTGCACGAAACCTAAATACACCGCTGCTCTTCGGCAGCTCTATAGCGGCAGCGGCTGATGAGAAGAGAGAACTGACACAGCGATCGCTGCTGTTGAAGGAGTAGAATCAGTGCAGCACTGCGGCTGTCCTCACTCCGGTGTTCTATCGAAAGCTCACTGCACAGAGCTCCAGTCTTTCTGAGCACCAGAGGTAGTTAGAGATCTCAAAGAGTTGGAGCTTTCGATAGAACACCGGATCCTGCAGCTTCCTCCGCCCACCTCAGCTGCCATAGGCTGGGAGGAAGTCTGCAGAGCTGCTACTGGCTGGAAGGACAGCACGGGAGAAGCAGGACACCTGGGGCATGGAGGATACATTGCTTTTTTCTGCATTACACTGCTGGTCTCTGTACTCGGCATTACACCACTGGCCTCTGCACTCTGCATTGTTACTGATCTCTGTTCTCTGTGTCACACAACTGACCTGGCGGAGTTAAGGGCGGGGCACGGTAGGGGTCAGGTGGGGCGGCTGGTGGCGAGTAACTCTTAAGGCCTGGCTAGTAGCTCAGGACTTGAAATTTTGAGCCCTGGTTGAAATATATAGGTGTTTAATGATGGTCACAGTCGCTTCTGTTATTCCAACATGCAACACAGCTTGAGAGTGGTTTTGTAGTAAAATGTGTCAGTC